AAAGACCAGAGATAGATTGGAAGTTATCTATTTTTCATATCTTTTCTTCTTTTACTTCACTTCACTTTTTCTTTTCCTTTTCTTTATATTTTGTATTTCAATTTTTCTTTTTCATTTCTAACTTTTAAATATGTATTTTTAAAATCTCAATAAAATATTATAAAAAAAGAAGAAAGAAATAGCAATGAGATTGTCTTCATGACTCTTCCTTCATGTACTAAGCCCTGAAATGCTCCAGAAGTCCCCCAGAGCCATTAAGATCTCTTTCCTATCAAAGATGGAATAGTTCTTTAAAGTACAGACATAGTTTTGGAATCTTATTTTAAATAATGGGGCACAGCCTTTTGCAGCTTTATGTGAGGAAAGGGAAGTCATTTAAAATTCCATTGTATTTTGACAAAGAAGACAGTGGACTTAAGCCAATCTCCCCCCAACTGGTGCTTGAACATGGGCTGTACTCATGTGCTTAATAGCTCCCACAGTCAGAAAAGTTCTCCTTACTGGAATTGTGATAATTATTGTTCTCCTTACTTGGAATTATCACAATTCCAGTAAGGAGAACTGATTTCGGTTTACTTTCTCGTTTCACTAAATTCTATGTAATTTTTCCCAATTCTTGCAAAAAGCTGGATTTGAATTCTAAACTCCAGAGTATTATGTATTTCCAAAGAAGACAGTAATAAATACACTTGCTGAAATACTATACCTCTGCTGTCCGGGCTAAGATAGCATTGCTAAAGTCAATTCTGTAGTTTATTGGTGCTTCTCGTTCTGGCAGTTTAATAGCAATATCTAAGTTTAAGTCCTTATGGGTAGGCATGTCAATCTCATACTGAGCAAGAGCTTGGAACACCAATATTGTTGCCTGGAATGAAAGAAGGAAAAAAATAAGATCTGCCTTGGAGTATCTCAAAAAGAATCTAAGGCAAAGGAACTTAAAATCCAGTGATACATTTTACCAGAGAAATGAAGTGCTCTTAGAGCAACTCCATGTTTTAGACAGTAGGGATGTTTAACACATAGGGAAGAGCATGGTTGCAGTAAATATGCAAAATAACTTCTTAATTTTTACAATTGACTGTTCATTTGAGCATGAGAAGATGGGCTACAAATTCAATGAATAAACAAATAGAGGAGGGATGACTTATATACACATGCACACATCTTTAAAGAACTATCTATCTGTAGAACTAAATGACCTAGGACATTAGGAAGTCTATTAATGAGATCTCCCTTAGTTCCCTTAACTTCAGCACTGATGAAGAACATAAACCCTAGATTATCTTCAAGTAAAATTTCCTCTCAAAAACTATTGTCCTGCACATTAAAAGTTATATGTACTTGTATGCTAACCAAGGGGACGCGATGGCGCAGCGGCTTAATGACGCTGAAAGTTGCCGGCCAGAAATGGTCGATGCTTCAGCGGGTCGAGGCAAGGCCTTGCC